GTCACATTTTTTGACTGCAGTTGTTTTTCATTGCAGTGAGAACTCTACGAATCATCTGTGGCTGTGCTGAAGAGTACCGCCTCCTGCAAGAAAATGATCCTCCACCCAAATCAGCAGCAATGTGAGTATACATAAGTTTTATAAAAGCCGTTGTGTTGCTGTGAAGCTCCATCCTTTTTGCTTTCCTTTTCAAAAAAAAGTAGATAGAGACATGAAGGATCTCCTGCTTGCGGTGGCCTTGTGTCAGACTTCATCAGACCTCACAGAGGCCAAAGCTAACCCTCTGGCCCCCACGGGGCGCTCGGAGCTGACTTCCTCTCTAAGTGGGTCGCCCTGTCTGGAGCAGACTTTGGCCTTGATGCACTGTGAGAGAGGGTCTGAGTGTAGAACTGCTTGGGTCAAGACAAATTGATCCAGTAATGCTAACCAAAAGGCAGCCTTATCTATTGTAAATAAAGACTTGTGGCTCTGCTTATGTTCTTGTTCATGAGATGTTCACACAGCTTTTGGCCAATGAATTTGCACTGCCCAGATTAAAATGTCAGCTCTTCTAATTTGTAAAACTCTTGAATTCTAGATTTACAGCATGCACGGGTGTGTTCCACCAGAATAATATCCTGATGACACACATTTTCTTAAATATGTGGGTTTATATAGGTTTATCGGAGTGAGTGTACTTGGCTCAGATTCCCTATGGTAATTCTCCCACAGACCTCAGCGTCTGCTCCACTCTTTTGGAAAACATCTTAAATTTCCTCCTGTCTCGACTGACGCTTAAAGTGCGAGCTCACGCTAGCATCCTGAAAAGGGAAAAACTGTGCTGGGAGATTATGTGGGCCGTTATAGTGTCCGTAAACTTTTGGTCCTGCCACACCCATTAAATCAAGCTGCCTGTTCATCTTTCTCTTGATTTCTTGCTTCACTCTAGGAAACAAAAGTAGATTGAACACTTGTGTCATATCTACATGTCTCTTTGCATCACAGTTTGCAGAGCGGTGGGTCGCTGGTGACGCACATACTCAGCGGTTTGGCTCCCCTTGACAACGGCTGATGTCGATGCTTATTTTTTTTTATAGCACTGTCTTGTAACTCCTATACAATAACTCACAATTGTGTTTTTCTCTTAAAGAAAGAACATTTAGCTGATGTGAAATGTTTAGAAATGTATCGACTGATGCAGATTGTTAATCATTTCTACTCAGTATATCCATGCTGATGGAATTTAAAAATCAGGCACAAAGCAGACCGTGTTGCAGACAGAAGCTTCCGGTGCAGACAGTCTTGTCACTAGTGTCGGCTTTGATTCAGTCATATGTATATTGGGCTGCCCAATTATGGCAGAAATCATATTCATGATTTTTTTGGTC